GCAGAAGGAATCTGGCCAGACTTAGAGATTCACAGGCTAGTAGGGGGAAACCTGACATGGAGTCATCAAGAGATAATAAATGAGGCACTTCACAGTGCCATTTTTGGAGAAGCACTTTTCAAAGTGGGACAACACATAAAGGTCATTCGTAATTAATCTGCTAAAATATGTTTAGAACACGAAGACAGATTTCTACCTCTGTCTTTTACAAGGTATTGAATGGTAGAGCTGCTCCTCCTTGCCTGCTGAATACATATAAATGCATACTAATTTAAGCTGTTCAGTCCAAATTCTGTCTCACAGTTTAGTCACTAGAACTTGGAATTGACTAGCTTGACTGTTTAAACATCAATATTGCAATTCCAGGCAATGTCATGGTTATTTCAGAAACCTCTGAGGAGAAGTGGAAACAAGCTTTTATCCCCTGATAATTAGAATAAACCAGGGCTGTCACCATTACTCGTTACACCATCCAACAGTGCAGGGAAATCTAAGACAGCAGGCTCAGGAAAAGCTTTTTTAAGAGCGACAAACTGAAGTTCCACCAGGGAGCTCATTTCAAATATCATCAGTTTTGTGTATGAGATCTGGAGTTAGTTACTTGTTACTCCTAGGTATGAGTACACGAACACAAGTGGCACAAACTCTCACTGAGCAAAATACTCTGCGATAGGCCTTCTAATTATTTTTAATTACTTGAGTCAGTTTGATGGCTTCCCCAGTTAAACAAACGAAACAAACATAGATTAGGCCCAGTGCAACATGCTGGAAGGACAGAGTAGTAGAACTACTTACTCTGGCCTATTTGGGTATCTTGAAACGTTGGAAATAGAGAGAGAAATTTTAAAAGAGCGAAATTCACATAAGAAATAACGTAAAGTAACGCTTGCCTATTTTAGAATGCGTTATCATCTTGTGTAAAGAGACATATGGGGTATGTACACATTTAGATATTTCCAGCCTTGAGTCTGTAATGATGCAAATTAAATGTGCAAAATTTCAGCTTATGAAACAAGAATGTAGACTATTTTGGGCCAATTCTCATTGTTGTATTTGGCATATAGTTTTATACAATCCTAGTTCCTTAACCTAAATGATAGCTTCAATTACTGTGTTTCTGATTTCAGTATGTTGGATTTAATGATAGTAGAGATGAATTTATTAACCCATTAGGCACCAGTCCTATGGTTCAAATAACCTCTATCCAAACGCAACTGATTAGCAATACCTACCAGAATGACCTTTTCAATGTCCTTGGCTGGACACCAATGAAACATCCCTGTGGAGTCATATTTTTTCACATTGGCATCCATGTTGTCAATCTGCTCATTGCCAGGAATTAACAAGGGGTCATGCCTGGGGAAAAACAAGTTGAGGACAACATAAGTGGAAAATATTATGAATTATGGATGGAAAGATATCCCAAGAGCTATGTCCAAAGAGGGATAAAAGTAAAAAAATGAAATGTATTTACACTTTACCATGCTTTCTATGCAGCCACTTTAAAACAAAAGCTAATAAAAAAGTGTTTTAATTTAAATTTTGGGTGCTAGTTGAAAGAGTTTTCATACTCTTTCTGCACCAATAATCATTTGATTTTAAACAGGGCTTTCTGACACCTTCATGTCCATAAATGTTTTTTTTTCAGTCCCACCCCTCCGAAATCAATATCAAAGTGTTGCTATTAGCATCTGCAATGAAGTAGAAGAGATAGGAGCAGTGCCCCATGCTGACTGACTGGCATAAGTATGGAAAGCCAATTATTTGCTTTCACCACATACAACTTCTGACGTGATGCTCTTCGCAGTAAAAGCTTTAACAGGCTGCACTTTAAATATTTTAGCAATTTGCCCAATCATATTTTGCTTTCCCAAACTGAAGCCCTTTAAAGATTCAGCAGTATGCCATTTTAGAGCAGACTGACTAACAAATGCCCACATCTGGAATACATGATTTTAATACCAAAGAACAGTGTCCATTTTCCCTGACAACTGTATCTGTGGTAACCTTCTAAGTGTTTTTCAGCAAGATTTTAAAGCACAAGGCTTCTCAAAGAAGGAAATAAAATATATTTTTATAACTTGCTCTCCAGCAAAATAATTTCCTAAGCATAGACACACAAACTGCATACAGTTCTTTAATTTATATGCTGAAAAACAAACATTAAGGGAAGAACTAAGTGACTTCCACATTGTCAGATGCTAGTAAGGACCCCTACATAACTACATTATACAATATCATTAGAATGAGGACCATGTTTACAAGTCACAGAGGAAACCAACCTTGAAATCTTAAAAAAAAACAAAACAAAACAGGGAACATATCTTTAGCTGGCAAAGCTACAGAGTCTCAACTTAAGGTTTCTCTCATGAATCCTAGAAATATCCTGATACAGAATCATAACATTTCAAAGAAGAAAATATTTGCAACGCAGGAATATGCTAAATATTCAAGGATAGGTGGCCAAATTTTAAAGTAATATACCTTTTCAAGACTTTTAAAGAAATATACATATTAGTTGAACTCTCAAAACTTGGAAGTTCCCTGTTTTTAAGGCATTTGAGCCAGTAGAATGTGATAAGATCCTCTCTTTTGGATAGTCCACTAAAGCAAACTTTGTTCACTGTATATGATATAGGTTAACTTACCCTGAATATAGTACACTGCGTTACTACGCTTAAAACAGTTATGCTTGCATGCCTAAAAATGGCATAAACTGCAGTTCCTTCAGGGTAATTAATTATGGGTAATTTCATAGTCACTGATTATGTATCCACTGAAATCAATGGAAAATTCTCATTCATTTCACTCGCACAGGGTTAACTCCATAGAAAGTGGCTTAAAAGGACTTGAGAAACTACTAATACAGCATTCCATAAAAAACAGAGTGTTTTCATGCTTTAAGAAGAAGCACGGCACTACATGGCAAACTCATAAGTGAGATTCACCTGGAAAAAGAAATGCAACGCTTTCATAGTTTTTTACATTCACTCAACAGAGATGCAGTTCGGTGCACTTCACTAGCAACCCACTGGCAGTAGAGGAATCTCTAGGGGACTACATGGAGTCTCTGGCCCTGATCCAGGTTCAGTAATGGAAGGCTTTGCCATAATGCATGCTCTCTCTTTTGTGGGAGGCAGAGGTGACTTCTTGGTGCAAAAGCTGTATCAAAGAGGATTTTTTTTTTTAATTTTTAGAAAAATGTCCAGACTCTGCATTCTCTTGCTCCAGCGATCCACATGGTATGGCTCAGTTAGCTGCAACGATAGTGGTTTTGGCTGAGAGAGCTAACTATGATGCTGTTCATAGCACATTCCTTGCTTGTAGTAGGTGCATCTGGTACAGTGAGGTCTGGGACCATGGATACAATCCCCTTTGGAGGTTCTACTAAAGTTCAGTCAACATTTAGTGGTACTTTATCCCTAACTACTCTGCTCCTAGCAATTTTTTCCATTGCTTTGGAATTTATAATTTGTCTAAGAGCTTTGAAGCTTTGTAAAGGATACTAACTATAATGGTAAAATAGGTGATTTCTTAGAGGCTGGGATAGTGTGAATACCAGCTGTGGTAGATGATGTTTCTAAAACCTTGCCATTTGTTTCCCTAAGGTCCAGTGCAAAGCATTGGCTCCTCAGTAGTATGGTGTTATCTCTGATGGGATGTGTTAGCTATATGTTTCCAGATAGGAAACTCTCCAAAAAGATGAGGACTCTTCAGGAGCTTCCACTAAGAGATTTCATTTTTGTTTGTTTGCTTTTTTTTTTGAACTTGCGCAAGGCAGTTCTCCATGAACATTTCAAAGCATAGCATAGAAACAAAAGGAAAGTTCACTGATGCAATATCTTTTTCCCTTCAGAAATCAGATGCACATGTGAAGGAATTGTCCTTTTCCCTTTCCCCTCATCAGAAACACTACATTAAAAAAAATTCTTAAAAATGCCACAATCTAATTTTGTAATTAGTGTTCCTGCTCTGAGATTTGAAAATCAATAGGTCATTTTAAGCTTTCACAGAAATGAGTATTTAGCTGTACTTCAATCTCATTCAGAGAAATTATACTAATTGAAAGGAATCTTTCAACAAACTAGGTTATCACAAGATATCTGACATCAAAGTTTGATTCAACTGCCTCCAGGTCAAAGAGAGTTTTTGGCCATTCAGTTAGGGAATTTTTTACAATCTAGTGCAGTAGTCTTTTGGATTAGGGCCTTGCATCCTATATAGGAATGTTCAAAGCAGCTCATTCCAAAGACTTATTAGAATCGATTTCACCTCAATACTGTATTTCCTAGTTAACTTAGGTTAAAATATAAGCGTATTATGGAAGGGGAGAAAGATGTGAATCATCAGATATAACTCCCTGTTAAAGTTTTAGGTAACTAAGGGATTTTTTCTGTAGATCCATATAGCACTTGGTTGCAAGATAAACTACTTGGATCCTTTATCCTCACTGTTTGGGTATGGCAAGGGGGAATCTTAAAAGAAGCAAAGAGGATGCAGCACAGTCAGTGCGAAGTAATTAGGAAATTATCATTTAAACACATAGAAAGTATGCTAATAGATACTCTTGCCCTACTTTTATTCTAGGAGAATGGATTCTGGCCTGAGAAGGAAATTGCGATAAGACTAGTCATATTTTGTATTTCATAATCCATGGTTTTCAATATAATTGAGTTTCTTAAATTTGTATATTTTGGGCTACACTATTTTATCAATAATTTCTCATCCTGAGTAAAATGATCCTTAAAGACAGCTACAGAGGTTGAAATTTGTAACTACTAAGATCAGACTTTGCCCTTGGATGCTAGCAGATGCACTGGCTTACATAGCTAAGAACAGAACTGATCTTTGGACTTGTTTTTCTCAAAACCACAGTTGCTTTATAAAATAATACTTTAATAAAATAATATTACTACTTTGGACAAACACAGTCTCTTTAATCTGATGATCTAAACCTGTTTGGTAAATACTAAAAATTAATTAAGACAGACACACAGAGGCTGACGCTGTCAAATCTGCCTAAGGGCTTTGGACACCCTCTTCCCATTAAAATTCACATTACACAAAGCATTACAGTTGTTGTCCTTACAGTCAAATTACGGACTGAATGTTTCTAGAGCCTCACTGCCCTCCTCACCCTTGAAGATGGCCCTGTCAAGCTATACTTGAGTCACACTGGCAGGTCACTGTGGAAATGCCTGCATTAGTGCCACCGCTATTGTGTTCTCCAGGTCTGTAAAGTCATCTGCTTGCAAAAATACTTAAAAAATTCACATTAAAGAAGGAAAAAAAAATCTTCTACAGTGTCTGCTTTAATGGAGATGTTGTTTCATATCATTGCAATGACCAAATCAAGTGATTTATATTGCCCAGCAACAGGACAAGAGGCAACGGGCAGAAACTTAGCCACAGGAAGTTCCATCTGAACCTGAGAAAAAACTTCTTCACTGTGAGGGTGACAGAGCATTGGAACAGGCTGCCCAGAGAGGTAGTGGAGTCTCCTTCGCTGGAGATATTCAAAACCCGTCTGGATGTGATCCTGGGAAATATGCTCTAGGTGACCCTGCCTGAGCAGGGAGGTTGGACTAGATGATCTCCAGAGGTCCCTTCCAACCGAAACGATTCTGTGATTCTGTGATTAATCCAGCAAGTAAAAGACAAGTATCTACAACACCTATGAGAGAAAAGCACCAAAAGTTCAATTTTCCTCATCCATAATCTCCTGTTAAAAATAGCTTCCCTGGTTCTTATGGCAAATACTATATATGTATGACTTAAAATGAAGAGTAAACACAACCTTTCTAAGTTTTTCGAAGAGCATATAACGCCACTTTTGATCAATTAATCTTGAGAACAACACCAAATGCCATGCTACAAGCAGCAAACCCCAAAAGCTTGCCTGGAAGATAACAGCCTAAAGCAAAACCATAAAAACTGTTTCCAGCAAACCTACTGTGATGAAGCCAATACTACATTTGAAAAAGCACTGCTTTCCCTGCAGACATTTACAATTACTCCAAGCACATTCACTTCAAGTTTTTGACTATGGGGACGGACAGAACTATGAAAATCATTAGGGGTTAAATAGCCACCTCATTATCTGCCTCATATTAGCACTTCCTTGGATTCTGTCACACTTGTCTCAATCCTCTTGCCAGCACTCACGTGTAACTGTGTATTACAGCAATATAGCCCCGTTGATCTGCAGTAGAACTCTCCCAGAAGTTAAACACCGGAATTGAGTGCTCTATGACCAGTAGAGACTCTGGTACTGTTTGAAACTAAACTGTGAACTAACTAAACTAAACTAACAAGTGTTTATGTATCAGTGAAACAATAGATTGGCTCCTTTTTAT